CATCAGCTATATTCTAAGTATGTTTAATTTTTGTGATGATAAACAAACTTTTCTCCCTACGATCAGAGCTTAAATTGGGCCGGAGCCCACTGAATTATTTTAACAATAAAATTATATTAAAAATCACTTATTAACTTTCAATTTATCTCTTTACATTTTAATTAAATTACTTCAATCATTAATTATTTCAATAAATAATAATTATCAATTAAATTATAATTATTAAATAATAATTATTGATTAAATAACAATTTATAAACATTAATTAAGTAATAATAACTATTTAATTTGAGAATAACTAACTATTTAATTTAAAAATTATTAATGAGTTTAATAATCATTTTATTTATTTATTTACTCTTGTTCCTCTTTGCTGATGGGCTCCGGCATTTCTAATCTTAGAACTTAAGCCCTGGGAGTATATATGGTATATTCTCCCACCTTCTTAGTGTAGTGGTCTGCACGCTGAGCACGTATTCCAGAGATTCGCAGTTTGATTCCCGGTGAAGGTGTTGCTCATTTTTCAAGTCTCCTGCTTCCAAAAATTCCTAATGTCTCTACAAAGTAAAGCCTCATAAATTTTACAACCATGAACTTGCATGTTTTTTTATACTAAATTAGCATTAAAATTTATAAAACTTGAAAATGGTACTTTATATATCAGTGATTTTACAGTAAAATTCATGTTAATATATTAGTGATGTTACAGTAAACTAACAAATCCAAATGCAATTTCTGTAATGAAGTTAAATATTCTTTGAAATACTGTATTGAAAAAGATGAATTTCTTATTCAGATATTCTGAACTACCTTTCGATTCGATTTAAAAAAAATAATAGAATTCTTAATCAATCCTGTAAACCCACAAGCTAAGTCGTAAAATAAACTGAACACATACTTACGAACACTGAATAGAAAGTTCATTATCATAAAAATTTAAATGCCTCCACAAAGTTCGGTTGTTCATTACTAAAGATGTGAAGCAGAGGGGGGGCCCCAAAGAAGTCTTTGCTCCTTGCACAAACTAGGCTAAGTCAGATCCTGCCTCCAACTACAGTAATATGGCACCAAAAATTAATGAGTGACAGTATTTCTACTGATTTACATTTAACGTGAGACAAAACTGAAATAAATAAAATAAAATGGAAATAGCTTTCGATAATTGTGCTGCATATTCCTCTGATCTCATTCTAAAAAACATTAAATCCGTGTTTCTTCCAGAAAATTGAAAAAAAAAAAAAAAACTGTCACTCATTCTTCTTTAGACTAGGCAATTACGAAAGCTTTCAAATGTCATTACACTATATATATATATCAAGGCTGTGGAATCACAATTAGGCAGATTTAGGGGTAAAAGCAGCCGGAGCTGGTGTCGCTAAAAACAGGTCGACTCCAGTTTTTGTTGGACAGTTTGAATTTGAAATGAAATTAAAATGAATTGAAAAAATTAATGACAAGCTGAGTTATTATTTTTTATTTATGAACTATATATATTAATACATAGTTATTTTCTATTTTATTGACATATTAATAAATAAATAAATCTAAGGGAGGAGGATGGATGTGATATTTGTCGTTAGTGATTAAACTGATTCATTTAGTTACAGATCTCGCTGGTAAATTTAGGTAAGTAGCAATAGCAGCAAGAACTCCCAAAATTGATGCCATTCTTAGGAAGCGAGCAAGAAAAGGAACAATTATTGATCAAACAACGCAATAAGGAAGTACATATTTGATGATAAAGCGTTTGTTAGAATTAAGAACTCTTTTAGAAGATGTAGATAACCCTAATGTTTCACTAACAGAAAGACTGTGGAATGATCTTACAGAATTAATAACTCTTCTTTCTACACCGTATATAGCCACAAAAAAGCTGCAATCTGAAGAATTGACAGGAGGCGAGAATGGAAGATTGTGATGTTTGTTCCTTCTGAAATGGATGCTTTATTGCAGAAGGAATCATTTCTTCAATGAAGAAAAGAGAAACTAGTTTGCTAGACAATGAGATTTTGCTGGGTTCAATATATGTTAATACAAAACACTGAATTTTCTTGGATGATGAACAAATTAAAAAGGCAAAGAAAGTCATCTATGAACTTCCATTAAGAATGAAATCATTCTCAGAACAATTGGAGAATTCGAATCAGAACAGTCAAACTGCAGACATTGCAACTGAGTCTCTATCATCCTCTTCCAAAGATGAATTAGATTTTGAGAACTACTTTCAAAAACACTTTTGGATAATATTGGAAAATGCTAGGGCAAAGCGAATGAAATACAAATAAAGAACCAAGAGCCTTTAGATATAAAAATGAAGAAATACATGTAACAATTATTTCTACACGGCCTTTGTAGAAAAGAAATAGAGAAATATGATAGCGTACTCGCAAGACACCTCTTTTAGAACTTGATAAAAAAATCTATCCTTGAAAAGTTAAAAGAAGTAGCCCTAACAGTAACAGCTCTTCCTCTTACTGAAGTTAGTGTGGAAAGACTCTTCTCAGCTCTGAAGTTTATCAAATCGGAGCTATGGCCCTCCAACAAAGATCTTGCCGAAGCTATACATACTATAGTCAGTTGATGAAAGAGAATTCTCTCAAAACACAGTTAAAATTTGCTTTCATAAATACGGCTTTTAGTAAAAAAAAAAAAAAAAAAAAAAAAAAAAAAAAAAAAAAAAAACATTAAAGGAATAGGAAGCTATAGCGATTGTTTTGGGTATCAATGAGAGAAAATATTAAGTTATTTTTAGAATATGTTGCAACTGACAATAGTATTGAGATAAGGTAGAAAAAACTAAATATGAAATTATAGAAAATGTTAAAAATGCTGCAAAAATTGAAATTAAATTGACAGCAAGAGATACAGAATAAACTAAAAACATACCACCTTTAACCAAAACTAGGAACACACTGGAAATTCGAAAAAATGTTCATGAAGTGAAAAGTCATTAGAAAATATACCGGCACTTTTACAACCTTCAGAATACAACTGAAAAATTGTTGATAAAAAATATGAATTGATCATTTCTTCAAAAAAAATTTAATATTTAACAAGGGATGTAGTTACAAAAATTATATTTCCAAGTCAGTGAATTGTTCAGTTTTATTATTAATTTTTAATTATGATATTAGGCATTTATTATTAGATTAGCAGCCAGTTACTTTCTTATTACATGTGTTTAAAGATGAAATCACAACTTGCAATACACAAATCCCTGTTTATTAAACTGAGCTGCTTAATAAACTAAAATATGATGGAAATGGAAGTGATTTTAATTAGAAGCAGGCACTGTGGAGACCACGTAGAACACACAAAGCATTAAAACTTTCATCTTCAGTTTTCATTATTAATCTAGTCTCGCTACTTTTCAGACAGATGGTGCGTTAATTCCCTAAATTGCCTAGTTAAACTCTAGCAATGTTATTCATGCTATATATTATACACGAGATCAGATTACGTATTTTTCAATTTAATGCCCATTAACCTCGTAATACATTTTAAAATTCAGGAAAGGACCACATATTGTAGATTGTTTGTAGGTACTAACTTTTCAACAGATGACTTCATGCAGTTTACGAAAGCGAGCATTTTTTGTATTTAAAAAATTAAACAAACTTTCCTTAATATGTTATGAAACTACATTATATTTTCACAGTTTAGCTTTGAATATAGGAACATGAGTAAAAACAAATAAATCTTTGTTATCCAAATTCTGCAAATATTACGCTGATCAAGTCTCACCATAACTCATACTTTGAAAACATTCATGGTTGGCTCACTAATAAGACTGATTAATTTTTCAGATAAAATTTCTCAATTATTCCTATAACAAGTAGATAAAGCTCAGTTAGAAATTCAAGATTCAAATTCGTATTCTGAAGCAGGAATACAATTTTTATGTGAATTCTAACAAAATATTATCATACTAATTATGGAAACTAACTAGAAAACAGTTGCCAAGAGTAGACTTCTGTAGAAGGCCAGAGCCCAAGCAGGGCTGTCAAGCCATGAAGAAGAATAACGGAAACTGGCAAGTTATTTAGATGTGAAATACAATCTAGTAATTAGGATCAAAATTATTAAATAATATGAGAAAAATCTGAGAATTATGAATTTATGTAATACTAACAAAAAATTTTGGTGAATCTTCGGATTATGGTAACTTAACGATTTTTTGGCGACCTACCCTGCTAGTATTTTTTTTTTTTTAACACAACATTTATTCCAACAATCTGCTAGCCGAATTACGCTTATGCTAGAACTTTTATGGAACAAAAGTGCTTAATCATGACGAAGATTAGGTGTGAAATAGGGAGAAAGTGCAGAATCGCCCACTGCTTAATGCGTTTTTAAGAATTGCACATATGTGGTATCCATGTACACATCGACCTATTTTCACTTAAAAAAAACATCCCAGAATTGCTTAAAAATGGCATGGTGCACACTCTTGACTTTATCGATGTACACATCGACCTATTTTCACTTGAAAAAACATCCCAGAATTGCATAAAAATGCCATTGCGCACACTCTTGACTTTGTCCATGTACACATTGACCTATTTTCACTTAAAAAGACAAAGAAAATTGACAAAAATCCAATTCTTCTTACTCTTGTAAGATGCGCCAACCAAATAAGTGGGCGATTCAGCACTTTAGCAGCGAAATTGTTTCTAAGTGCTTATTAGCTAAAATCACGATCGAAATTTTCTGGAAAATGTCACATGACACGGCTCATGATCTCTCATTTCCCTGAGACAAAATAATCTGCGATTCAAACTGTGTATTTCTCAGATTATTGCTAAAGTCTTATCCAGTAACCTTTATCGCCTTACCAAAATGTCACCAAACTACCTGTTACCATATTCCAAAGATTAGCCAAAATTTCAATACTCCCAATAAACTCATGAAATTCTTAAATTAAATTACAACCATACCCAAGATTAATAACAGCATTTATCCTTGCTGTTATATTTCCAAGTTACAGTTTCCAAAGAAGCTATATGATCAACATGATTTATTATTATCTTCAACACATATGAAACCAGATATGAATGAATACTACGAGTTACAAAACTATATATTGAATTTACAAAATGCTTTCTTACTTATTACATGTTCAAATAAATAAACAACAAAACTGTAAATTATATAGGAAAATTTTGTTTAAATCATAATTATACTTATATTTACAGAGTTAAAAATTTTCCGAATCTATTTTAAAAAAATTGCATCGGGGAAAACTATTTTATAAAATCTGTTCTTGATACTGATGTTAAAATTAACTTGGCATTATATGAAAGAATTTTCAGTCACTATTTGGAACTTTATTAGGTATTTCTTGTTAAAGTGGTCACTGTAGGAACCTCTGTTGCTATTTTGAAATTTACACATTCCTTATTGGTGCCCATTTTAACATAGAAATACTCTTTAATTCATTCATGGCCTAAATAGCTGCAAATGTATCTATGGGAACTTTTTGAGGTATAAGACAGTTATGTAGTTTTACCACTGCCGTCGTAACCATCTGTTGCAGTACTTCATCATCTTCGCATTTCACTTCGAGACTACGGACATTTATAACGGCACACTTATTATTCACAGTTACAGTTAATTTTTCACCTCGTACAATCTTACTCACAGAATCCTCTCCAAACATCTCTGCCAGCATCTCCATAAGACATTCTGTAAAATGCATTTTGTCCACTTTGACTACAGGTGGCAGGGTCTTGGATGTATAGTCCGATTTTTCAGCTTTAAGGATGGTTGCAACGACAGCATCAGCATACATGTCATTAACCGGACTGGAAGTCCATTCCAGTACAACAACTTTTGATTCTTGGGATATTGATATTGCATCAAAAACTTGCAATATGAGTTTCCCTCCAAATTTCTTATAATCAGGAATGAGTTTGGCATCTCCCGACAACTGATTCAGATAAAAATGCAGGACCTGAAGACTGCCAGTATATGGAACACTTAGTCTTTGACTCACAGTACTCATTATCATGTCCGTATATTTAGAGAGATCAGAAGGTGCCAAGAGGTGATAACTAAAATTCCTCTTTACCAAAACACCAGATAAAATACGTCCCGCTTCAGCTGGCTGAACAGCTAAAGAACCCATAACTTTGGCAGTTTTCTCTCCTCGGAAATATAATTCGACACCTTGTGCATTCCTCGGATTGTAAACTTCGATGTGGGCATCTTGATCATCCTCATATTCTCGAATAATGGCGGCTTTCAGCCTTCCCATCTCATTCTGTTCACCATGCACAAGAACAATATGAGGTGGTTTCAGAATTCTTATGAATTCACTTGTCTGTTGATAATCTGTGTGAGCGGAAAAAGATATATATGCAACAGACATCTTTAGAGGTAATTTCTGACCAGTCATTGTTGTTATCTCCTCTGGTTCAGACAGGATATGCTTTGCTAGTGTACCCTCAACGCAATAACCAGCAATTATCACTCCGTTTTTAGGATCTGTACACCAACTTTCAAATAGTTCACGCGACAGACCACTTTGCATCATTCCGGGACTAGCCATCACCACACATGGACCTATGTCATCAAAATGATCGATGCTTTTCAAATTGGAAATATGCTTAAATACAAATGGATTGTTTATAGCAATCTGCTTTCGTATTTTGTCATTCATAGCATTGATGTAAGTTTGATACACAGCCATACATTTCTTTGCTAAAGATGATGCATAATAAATGGGAATATCATGCAATTCTGGATGATTAGACCAGTATTCATCTAATATCAGCAATAGTTCTTGGGCTCTGCCAAGTGCAAAAACTGGAATGAGACATCTTCCTCCACGGTTCACAATGTCATGAACAAGACCAGTGAAGCGAGCTTCACGTTCATCTCGTTTTTCATGAATATGAATTCCGTATGTAGATTCTATAATAAGTACATCTGGTTGAAGGCCTGGTATCTCGGCTGCCATCAAATGGCGATCTTCTTGTCGCGAAAAATCACCAGTGTACAAAACTTTAACGCCTGCAATTTCAATCATGAACATAGCCGCTCCCAATACATGGCCGGCATTATAACACCAAAATCTCACACCGTTCACTTCTTTCTCTTCGTGGAAGTTTACAGTTTCTATTTTTCCCATGCTGGCATCGAGATCGGCTTCGCTGTACAACATTTGTTCTGTGCCGATGTTGCTTACTTTGATGTAATCGGCTAAAAGCCACCGATATATAGCTTTTGTAGCGTGAGTCATAAAACATTTTCCCTTAAATGGAGTTTTCAGTAAAAACCAAGGCAGAGCACCACAGTGATCTAAATGGAAATGACTCACGAGAAGTAAATCTATTTCTTCAGGTTCAATGTTGTCTACGAAAGGTAAAGCGTCTATACCTGATAATCCAGGATGAATACCACAATCTAACATTATCTTCTTTCCTTTGAATTCTAACATAATGCATGATCGTCCTACTTCTTGGCCAGCTCCAAGAGGTTTTACTACTAATAAATCACTTTCTTCCGGCGGAATTTGAGATTCTACTTTCTTCTTAGCCGCCATTGCTATCCATGAAACTGTTGTCAACTAAATTATGTTGTTGCCAGATACGTAATACAGAAATAAATTGCCGTAACAAAAATACTTAATGATTAAAAATTAATGATATATATAACAGGGCTGGCCAAGCTCCTTGACAGTCCGAGCCATTTTTCAAAATTTGAAATTTTTTGCGAGTCGCAATTAAACACGTATTTAAAAGGTATGCAAAAAAGGTATTAACAAATTTTTTTACAGAAATTATATTTATTGAAAACATATAAATAAAAGTACAAAATATGTGTATTAAATTTAAATATTAAAAATTAAACACATTTATTTTACTTCTCTTGATAATTCTTTAAAATTTGGTGAACATTTTTCAGTAATTCTTTAAGATGCTGGTTAGTTAATACTGATCGGTGTTTGGATTTCCCGAATTTTAAAGTGGAATAAAATTATTCACATAAGTACTTTGTTCCGAATATTGAAATAATTCCACAAGCAGCCTTTTTTAATTCAGGATACTTCGATTCTGGTACAAATTCCCAGAATTCAGTAATCGGCGTCAATTTATATTTTAATTGTAGAGCTTGATCTTCTTGCCTTTCTGTTAATTCTAATTCTCCAGATGCTTTTTGGGTCATAATTATAATGGAAATACTCACCTTGAATTATGTTAATTTCAAATAGAATCAGAAAAAAATCAAGAGACGATGGACGGAAATGAAATTTGTTACAACGTTGCACTTAGTCTTTCATATTTGTTGTCTGTAATTTAAAAGACATTTTGAAACATATATGGAATGAAAATAATTTTCTAAAATATAATAACACAAAAGTGAAAAGGAAACTGTGGTATATTTATCGAGAGCCACAAATAATCCTTCAAAGAGCCGCAGGTTGGCCACCCCTGATATAAGAACATATAGTGAATTTGAATTTCAGAAAGCATCGCCTCCTGTTACTCTGTATCACGTGAAGAACATCAGTAAAACAAAACAACGAAAGTAAAAGTCAGGTGGCCGCCATCAGTCGACGGAAAAGGTGAGTGTCTAGTCGAAGGTCCAAATCAGTGAACTGAAGAATCTAGTATAAGTAAAAAGTGTTAAGGGTGGAGAATGTCAAATGGATAGTTGTGCTTTTCTTTGGGAAATCTCTCCATTTAAGAGAGCTGATGCAGTTGTTAAGATGAGTGAAAACTGAATAGAAGAAATTTCTGTCAAGTTTTTGAATATAATATTGAATTGTATCTACTTTGAGATCACGGTGGACATACGAATTCAATGATAATTTCCTCACATAAAAATCTTTGCTAAAGCTTGTGACATTTTATTCTATAAGTATTATAAAAAAATCTTGTACGCATATGAAAACCTATGCCAAGTATTGCTGAAACACTTTAAAAACATTCATATGTGTGGTAAAAAAGTATCCAAATAAAGTATTCAAATTTCACATTAAAATAGTTTTTGAATTAATAATATCTAAACAAAATTTGCAGATTTCAACCTATTCAAATGATCATATTGACTTGGACTAATTTATTATTTTCTTAAACTAAACCATAAACATTGAAGCATCAGACTGATAAACTGCAAAAACGAATGAAGAGCGCAGGGGCTAATTGCACCACCTACGTCAGCGCATTCGCACAATCAGCCCAGGTACAGCCATTTTACGCCGATTTACCGTAAGGCAGGCGGGAGCGGGGGCGAATGTTCTTAACCCTAACTCAGCAATAGCGAGGGTTGTTAACAGTTTCTGTTTATCTTCCTTGAATGCAATTTCTTTGTTAATTAATTTTTAGTTATTGTTCCTGAAATTTACGTGTTATTTGTTTGACATAACTTGAGGACAATGGATGTGACGAAAACAAATTTCTTGCCTTTTGAGTGTGGAAAAAATTTTCCCATATATTTTGAATTTGAAAGGGCAAAAGAACTGTATGAAACTCAAAATTTTGCTGTTTTGATTAAAACGAGAACGGAAAAATTTCACGAGGGTCATAAACATCGTGAAACGTTACTGTACAAATATGTTACCTTTGAGTGTAAAAAAGGACATATTCATAAAAAGTTATATTCATATTCATAAATAGTTAAATTGTTTTATTTAACACAGAAATTTTTATGCGAACTTAGACCCTAGTCTTATAGCATAGACTGTCAGAATTTACTATTGAATAAGAAAACGTACTGAAAATTCTCATATATGCATCACTTTCTCAGTGTCCACACATGTTTATGGGTTCAAATGCCATATTTCAAAATCAAAGTTATTTATGTAATAAAATCTCATAAAATCTGATGATTCATTTGCGTGTACAGTTTTTTCAATCTAAATCTCTTACATTAAATTATTTTTGTCTTTTAAATTACATCCCATTATTTATTTAAATTTAATTAATTAATGTATTTGTACTAATATTTCAAAGTTCTTTGAAATATTTTTTGTGTTCTGAAAATGAAGAGTATTTTCATAGAAAAATTAAACAAGCATACAAAATTATTAATAACCAGTATTATACGATTAATTATTAATTTAATAGCTTATTTTATCGTTTATTTTATGTCTAAATTTTCTACGCAGACATACTCTGTCTAATTTTTAATGTCCCTTAATTTTTCTCAGAAAAAAAATTTCAAAGAGGAATGAACAAAAATCTTGATTGTGCAAAACACATATTTGAATCTAAATATATTCTAAGAAGTACAAAAAATATAAGTGAGGTTTTAGTCCCCCCCCTCAAATCAGTCATTTAAATTATTCCAGACGTTCAGAAGAACGAACGGTTGGAATAGTTTATGCGGACATAAAAATCTGCTCTTTCTGAAATGTACATAAATAAAAGAAATACGTTCCTTCTTTTTATATTGTTACGAATTTGGTATTTAAAAAGCTAATGTTAGTTCAATTATAAATTAAATGGTTTTATTTCTCGCGCAGTGCAGCGCGTGACGAATATTAAAAGAAAGCTAAGCCGGAAAATTGAAAATACAAGAGCGCGTGCATTAAATAAATAAATATCTCTTTTTGATTTCGAGAAAGTACTGGAAAATTCTAGCGCGTGATTTTAAAATCTTATAAAAGGAGGAAAACATCTCAGTTTGTAGTAGTTGCTTAGTTTGTTGTTGTTTAGAAAACTACTGTTGTTGATTGTAGCGAATTCGCGGATTAGCGTTCTTTAGCTGTTTTGAATTACGTTCTATTGGACATTTGAGTAGTTAAAAGAAAACTACTGTGAGATATTGTAATACTGCGTGATGATAATTTGAGAAAATTTAAGCATTTTTGTTGTGATAATAATAAATTTTTGTTCATTTTTCATCGGACTTGTGCATTCATTTCATAACGAACCCGTACGCACGCAACAATTTTTGGTGTCAGAAGTGGGATTTGAATGCCAATAACAAGAGCGATGGAAGAGCAATTAAGGCAGTTAATATCAGCCTTTGCCTCATTTAAAGAAGAAAAAGAGAAAGGAAATGAAATGGGCCAGGAATCCGTTAAGGAAGAAATGAAATTGGGCCAGGAATCCGTTAAGGACGAAATGAAAGCCGTTCAAGCTGGTCAAGAAGAAATGAAAAGAGAAATTACTTGCATAATAGAAAATAAATTTGAAGCTATGGAAGGCAGAATTGACGCAGTTGAAAATAAAGTTGGACATATTGAAGAAAAAGTTTTCCGTAAAAGATCATATTGAAGAAAGAGTTTCTTCGGTGAAAGAAGAAATAGAAGAAAGAGTTTCTTCTGTAAAAGAACATGTAGAAGGGAAGTTTCTGCTGTGGAGGAACGAATTGAAGGAAGAGTTTGTGCCGTCCAACACCAATCGAACAACAAATTGATGAGAGAGTTTCTGCAGTTGCCAAAGAAATTGGATACTTTAAAGAAATTCGTAGCGTCGGCAGGGAGCAGGAGTGATGATTTTAAATTCTTACCAATGCCTGCTCGTCCACCTCTGAAGCTATCCACATATGATGGGAAAACCTCCTGGCAGGTGTATAAGACACAATTTTCTATCGTGGCGGATGCGAATGGATGGGATTCCCAAGCTAAGGCCTGTCATCTCGCCGCTTCTCTAAGAGCCGACGCAGCGGATATCCTTCAGACTCTTCCCGAAAACAAAAGGTTAGATTTCGAAGCTCTGTCCGGCGCCTTGGAGTTGCGCTTTGGGAAGAAGTGTTTAAAAGACTACAGCAGGCTCCAATTAAAATCTCGTCAACAGAAGCCTACCGAAACACTTCAGGAGCTCGCCGAGGATGTTGAAAGGCTGTCCCATCTCGCCTTTTCGGAATGCCCGACAGAAACAAGGGAAATCCTGTCCTTGCAATACTTTATCGACGGCATCCGAGATACTGAAATATAGAAAGCTCTACGAATGGCGGATGTAAAAGATTTAAAAAGTGCTCTAGTGTACGCCATGAAATTTGAGGCAGCCCAGCAAGCCACTCGTCGAGATCGCCACTCAGTCAGAGCTGCTCAAGTCCAGGAGCCAGGGGATCAAGTCACCGCTCGACTTAACGATTTAACTAGACAACTGAACGCCTTGAGACGGAATATTGGTGAGAAGAAACCGACCGTTAAGTGCTGGAACTGCGGTGCTGAAGGACACATACGACGAAACTGCAAAACACCCCAGGGTACTGATGTTAAGACCGCTTCTAACAAGCAGCAGGGAAACTAATTAGTGGCCATCTCGCGGGGCGGAGGTTGCCAGATAATGAAAAGCCCCAGTTTAAAGCGCTTCAGATTTCTGCAGTGAGAGGCGGCAGTAATGGACTTTTCATAATAGGACATATTAATGGAGTTCCGTGCAATATGACTATAGATACAGGAGCCATCATCCGAAAAGATTTGGCTCAACAACTAGGAAACAAACTTATCTGGACGCCGCCCTGCGTTACCCTCCAGACTGTGTCCGGTGAGAAGATCGACATCGACGGAAAAGTAAATGTTAACATCACGTTTGGAAGTGCCGCTTACCATCACACGGCATATGTAGCAGAGATCACTGATTCTTGCATACTCGGATTGGACTTTC